ACAGGAATCCCAGCAACTACCCCCAATACCACCACGCTTGCCGCTATTGTAGGCGGTGCCGGCAACTCTAGAGCGCAGGTCAATCCTCAGGCTGCTGGTGGCGGTGGCACTTTTGTTCCCCTCACTACCCTGCAGAACATGGCGCAAACATCACCACAGCTGCCTTCCTACCCAGGTGCTGCCGTCTCACCCGCACCATCGACTTCGGTTGCGGGTGCATACGGTCAGAAGTTGTCCACAGTCTCTGCTCGGTCGCACCATAATCAGATGAACCAACGTCTAGTCAATTCACAATACACTCAGGTCGCTGCTGCTGCTACTGCTACGCCAAATCCTACAGTAAATGCCAGGCCAGTGAATCCGATGTCTGCTGAACCTGACCAAAAGTCACCAGTGTCTGAGGAGGTTGTAGATGCTTCTACCTGACAACGGTTGTGGCCGTGCTAAAGCCTTTCAGTTGCCTGGAAGCAGTCCGCCAAATCTTTCATTGACATCGATCCACCACCCGTGTATATATGTGCTCCTCATCCCCACTAAGCGAATACGCCAGCGCTGTGCTAGTCCGGCCGCTTTTTCCCGTTTTTATACAGTCTCCGAAATCAGGTTTACTTACCCCTCAAAAACGCTCAAAGAAAACACGAAAATATTTTGTTGAACTGAAAGTATCGCATTTTCAGGAGGCCTTGCCAGTCATCTTGCGTCGCCCACTCGCCTCCCCTATACCACCCGCAAAACCATCGAGTTGGTGACACCATTCAGCAAACTGCAGTGTTATTTGTCCGCGCTTTTCCGGTGCTCGCCTTGTTCCGTGTTTTTGCCCTCTGCTCCCTTGTACTCCACGTTCAATACTCTAAAGATTCGATATTAACGCGGCCAGTTTCCTTTGCCGCTTCCCTCCCTCTCCCAATGCACCATTAGCCTAGGTTTCCTGTGCGGTTCACTAAGGTTCCTCCCCCGTAAACCGTCATTACCGAGTAACGCACTTTTCTGTGATACACATTTTATGCTCATCTGGACTTGTTATCTATGCTAATGACTGACCTCCCAGTCACCAGTGTTTAATACCACAAAAAAGTTTCCTGTTAGGAATAAATTACATTTAAATACCCACAAAAGCTGATGCCTAACATTGCACACTTGACGCGCCCGTGTGCTTTTGGGCCCCCATGTCACATTCGCTACCCCCACCCTCTCTTATTTCACCATATTCGAGGTCATCTTGTGTGCATTTGGTAGCTTCTCCATGTTACCGCCTTGGTATCTAATTCCGTTGCCCTGCGTTCTTCCACTACATCAACTGGCTATACATCTTCGCGTTCGCATGACACTGCACTGCTGCTTTTATTATCACTATTTTGCATTTTCATTTCCGCGCGGGACTTGTGTGTAAAGCTAGAGCATTCCCTGCTAGTTCCACCTTACTCTTGCCTTATTTTTTTCTCTAGCATTTTCATTGGACTTGTTTATTAGAGAACATTGTTCCTCTTAAGGACCACCCGGAGGCAACTTGGCATTTTTGTTAGATATCATCTCACTCGTCGTTGCGCCAGGATGCCTCACGTGTGTTCGCTTTGGTCTCCTCTCCCACTTCTAAATTACAGTCCGATTTCGGTACTCTCAGGAGGGCTTATGTATTACTGCAACGTAACTTGGCTTGAACATTGTGGAAATTTTTGTCTGTCAGTTCACTGCAAGGACTGTTAATCTAAAATAGACCAACTGGTTCTCGCGTGCCTCAGTGTTTAATGACGTCTGAGGCCATGTCTGTGCGATTGCGTCGGAAAGTGTGCGTGTTCCCCGCCCAGTACGTACTTTTAATAGCTAGAGTAGGGGCACATAACGCTATTTTCCGATCAAGCTGAGGCATTCGTCCTTATTCAGACGGGACACACCACCGTGCCTCATTAACAGTCCGTAACACGAACCCTTCAGGAGAGATTTGTAATAAGCTTCTCAATCATGCGGAGAGCTGCATTAGGGAGCGTAAGAAAGGTTTTATGAAGTGACAGGGAACTCGTGGATACAACCTTCTATCCGGGAATACGATACGGACGCATGCATAAGTTCCACCATAACTTTGCGTATCTTTCTTTGTCCAACAGCGGCAGTTTGCCGGCAATTTCAGTCACACTACAGAGTCCCTCATTGGTAACCTACTGTCTAACGCCTCGATGCACAAACTAGCTACTATCCAAGCCAGAATGGCTGGAGCGACTTGGGCGTTACCCATGTGACT